ATGCCATGCTTGCCCTTCTGGCGCCAGGCCAATTCCCATGTGCCTGAAAACTCTTACACATCGACACCCGGCTCCCGAGATCCCCTCTTCGTAGTGTTGTGCACGTGATGGCGGGGTCCGTATCTCCGTACCCGTACCTAGGTACTCTAGCACTAGCTACACACCTGTCCAGTACGTAGCTCATAGGAGGAATTAAACAGTTCCCACAGCGGTACACTCGAGCATGCAGAGACAGCTGTCCATGCAATGTGCCTTCGCCTAATGCCAACAGAGCGCTCTCGTCGCGTCGCTTACATCGTCACCTTCCCTACTGCGGTTGTCGCTGCTGCTTGTTGAGGTAGTGAGAGAAATAGTGGGGCAAGGCGAGCATCGCGAATACCACGGCTACGCGCCATTGGTGTTGTACGTCCCGAGAACGGCTACGGCGATAGTCATTAGCATGAAAAGTGGGGAGTATGGAAGGTACAGGCAAAGAAGCGGTGGGTGAACACGCTGTCCGGCAGGAAGCGGGAGCGATTGCGTACGATTATTGCTAAGTCAGCCGGACACGGGAGGCATTTATATCGCGACTTCTCTCCCTCGTTCCTCACCCCACCGCACACCACCGATTGTAAACAACAGCCAACTGTCAAGCTTGCAATCTCTCTCCCTTCTATCAACCACACCCAGATTTCCCCGGGCCATTGCCCAGCTGTCAAGACGTTTTCCAATCTCCTCAGCTCGTATGTGCCCCGCCATAACCCCATGGGGACCGCCTTTACTTACACTTGACAGGATCCACAACCCATTCGCCGGCCGACGCACTTCTCCCTCTGGGGCAGCGTCGGATTTAGACTTCCGCAACTAAGTTCACCAACTCAACAAGAACTTAAATCATCATGGCACCACACGCAGACGAGCGCGTCGGTCACGCGAATGGGTTCGAAGCGAAGGCAACTCCCAAGGATCTCTTTGTCGTCAGCTCTCCTAACGTAGAATACACCGAGGATACTATCAAGTCAAAGTACACTTACCGTACCACCGACGTTACCAAGAACGACGACGGCAAGTATGTTGCTATCCCCAAGGAGACGCTCTACGACTTCAAGGTCGACCGCAAGATCCCCAAGACCGGTGTTATGCTGGTTGGATGGGGCGGCAACAACGGTACTACGGTCACGGCCGGCATCATCGCGAACAAGCGTAACCTCGTTTGGGAGACCAAGGAGGGCAAGCGTGGCGCTAACTACTATGGTTCGGTCATCATGGGATCTACTACCAAGCTCGGTGTCGACAGCAAGACTGGTCAAGAGATTCACATCCCATTCCATGACCTCCTGCCTATGGTCCACCCCAACGATCTCATCGTTGGCGGATGGGACATCAGCGGGATGAACCTCGCTGAGGCCATGGACCGCGCCAAGGTTCTGTCACCGTCCCTCAAGTCTCTTGTTCGCAAGGAGATGAGCACCATGAAGCCTCTTCCTAGCATCTACTACCCGGACTTCATTGCTGCCAACCAGGAGGAACGTGCCGACAATGTTCTCGAAGGTACCAAGGCTTCCAATGCCCATGTTGAGCAGATCCGTAAGGACATCCGGTAAGCCGAGATTCGATGCATATCATACCCACCTTTACTGACGATGTTGTAGTGACTTCAAGTCCGCCAACGGTCTCGACAAGGTCATTGTGCAGTGGACTGCTAACACTGAGCGCTATGCCGACATCGTCGAGGGCGTCAACGACACGGCGGACAACCTGCTCAAAGCGATCGAATCTGGTCACGAAGAGGTTTCTCCGTCCACTGTCTTTGCTGTGGCCTCCATCCTTGAGGGTGTTCCCTTCATCAACGGTTCCCCTCAGAACACATTCGTTCCTGGTGCCATTCAGCTCGCCGAGAAGCACAATGCCTTCATCGGTGGTGACGACTTCAAGTCGGGTCAGACCAAGATGAAGTCGGCCCTCGTCGACTTCATGATCAGCGCCGGTATCAAGCTCACCTCGATTGCCTCCTACAACCACTTGGGTAACAATGACGGCATGAACCTCAGCTCTCAGAAGCAGTTCCGCTCCAAGGAGATCTCCAAGTCCAACGTCGTCGACGACATGGTCGCTGCCAACAACGTCTTGTACAAGGAAGGCGAACACCCCGACCACTGCGTCGTCATCAAGTACATGCCTGCTGTTGGAGACGACAAGCGCGCTCTTGACGAGTACTACGCGGAGATCTTCCTCGACGGCCACCAGACCATCAGCTTGTTCAACGTTTGCGAGGACTCTCTCCTGGCTTCACCTCTGATCATCGATTTGGTTCTGGTCGCTGAGATGATGACTCGTGTCCAGTGGAAGGCCCACACTGCCGAACGCGGCGATGGCAAGTTCAACAACTTCCACAGCGTGCTCAGTGTCCTCAGCTACATGCTCAAGGCTCCTCTCACTCCTCCTGGCACCCCTGTTGTCAATGCTCTTGCCAAGCAGCGTGCGGCTCTCACCAACATCTTCCGCGCCTGCGTCGGACTTGAGCCGGAGAACGACATGACCTTGGAGCACAAGCTTTTTTAGGTCTCTGGATGAACTGATGGCGGGCATGCATGTTGATGGTGCCAGCTGGCAGACGGTGCATGAGCTCTTGAAGCACATGTCACTCACGATTTGATTTGACCAACTCACTACTTTCTTTAAAGCAATAAAAATCTGTTTACGAAATCCGCACGCATATGTAATATTGTCGGTCTTCGGTGAGCTAATAGTGGTGATCATGTACTATGCCTCACTGCCCATTTATATACACATGAGAGACACAGCTGATTTTCGGGTGGATAGTGCGACTTCCTCATCGTGGTTCTGAGGTGGGTCGCACCTACGCATACGCAGGAACGTTCCTACCTCAATCCTTACCTCCCTGAAACTTACCACAACTACCTCAACCTCAACACTGCGAACTCGTACCAAACGAGAAAATGCCCGCATCTTCATCAATTCAATCTTACTTCTCATCCTCGCCAACAAAAAGCAGTGATGTCTTCACCCCAGGGGAGGTACAATGCACGCCTGCGGCAGGAGCGACCAGAGAAAGTACATGGGCTGTAATGTGTCTCACTCAATGAATATAGACCCATCACTGATATATGAAAGCCCACTCTCGACTACGAAGAAGCAGACCTAGACACACTTGAACCTGGCCCCTGCAACCTCACCCTCATGGGCCGCGTCGTCTACTTCAACGACCAATCAAAACCGAGCAGATCGCACAAAGGAGCTCAAGGATGCATCAAAATCCTGCTCGCAGATGACACCGGGGTACTCACCGTGCGCCTTTGGTATGCTAATACCCAGTACAAGCTCAAGCTGGGACAGCTACTCAGCGTGTGGACGGTGCATATCTCGAACTCTTCAGAGTACAACTCACTAGCACCGAATACTGCGCCGCTATTCACTACGATATTCCCTGAGGGCGAGAGGCACTGCCATGTCATGGTGCATGAGAACAGCGATGATGGGACGAGGTTCAAGAGGCCGTATAGTGTGCGGGACAACAGAGTGCTGCCTGGGTTGATGACGCTGAAGACGTTTACTGATGGTGGTTATGATATCGAAGAGCCAAAACTACTGGTATGCGTCAAGAGTATTGGCGCGCGGAAGAAGTGTGCGTGGTTCTCCTCTTTACGATATCTTCAATTATGATTCATGACTAACTTGCCAACAGACATAAACCGCAACAGCACAACCTCTGAACTCATAACACTCGGTATCTTCGACGACACATCCGACGGCCTCCTCACCCTATACTCCTCCATGTGCGACTCGGCCTCTCTGTTCGTCCCCTCCGAAACCGTCCTCCTCATCTCGAACCCTGGATGGCGCATCGACAAGATGGCCAAGCTCACCATCAGCGGCAACTCACGTGTCGACATCGACCCCGACATGGGTGATGCGCGGCGACTGAGAGCCCTAGCACAAAGACTGACGAAGAAAGAACATGTCAACCCGCCGTTTCCCATCGCTGACGATGTAGTCGATGACTTCGAGAATGCAGCCGTGAGAGCGTTGTATACACTTGCGGATGTAGATGATGTCGCTCGCTCGCTGTCGAGCAAAAGGTCCAGAGAAACTATCGCTGGGTACCTTAGCGTCATCATCACCGAACTCAATATCGTCACGCCGTTCAAACGGAATATGCTCATGAGTAATGAGTGCTGTGGTATACCCATCTTCGCCAATAGTACCCAGGTCATTTGCAAGCAATGTGAGAAGCTTGTTGAATTGAGGATCAATCCTAGAATAGTAAGTCACTCTCAGTTCTCGTCTACATCTGTTCCTACAATCCCTCATTCGTCTTCTTCCCTGACTAACCCCCGACTCTCGCAGCTCGGTCCCCTCCTCGACGAAACCGGCCAGATCAGCAGCGGTAAGCTCATTCTCTCGGACGCCGCGTGGACCCAATTGCTCGGTCGCTCACCAGAGCAACTCGTCGATACCCGTCTCGATGTCCTTCGTTATCTGGAACAGCGCTTGCTGTTCCTGCGTATCTCGATGGGGTTTGCGTTGAGGCTAGAAGATGAGATTGGGAGGCTGGCTGTGTGGTGTGTTAAGAGCTGAGTGAGAGTGACTGAAGGAGAGACGGAGAGAGATGAGGAGGATGTAAGCTGGATCCAAGGTCCTGGAAACGAGATCTGTCATGGTATCTCGATAATAATAGAGTGCACTACTTTGACCGAATGAATTGTCTGCCGTGACTCAGAATGGGTATGATGGTATTCCTTCTCCAAAACATTTACACGAAAGAGTCAAGAAAACAGAAGGGTATATCGTATCCTCCCGGTCCATTCCCAAGCCCGTAAACACCATGCGAAGATGCGTCAATGATGTGTCTCTCTAAAACAAGGTGAAAACGGTCAAAGAAAGTGCGCCACATAGATCATTCTCATAAGACCTCCTAGGAGTGTCTGGTCGGATTGTCAATCCCTGCCCGTTCCTGCCGGCAAATTTGTTTGGTATTGATTGCAGCAGCAAAGTTATTCTTATTGCTCGCCAAGTACACCAGCAAGGCCTCTCAATATATCGCCGACTCCAATTCCTTCTGTGCCCACTCTTTCCTTCGCTTCCCGATCCCGCTCTTCCAACCTCTTTGCCGCAGTACCCAGCACACGATCCGCTACCCGTTCGGCCGTTGCGCGATACTGTTCGATCTTATGAACACCGTCTGCGAAAAGGTCTATGTGCGGTTCTAGCGAGTCGGCGAGGGACGTGAGATGTGATTGTAGTGCTGTAGGCGAAGTGAATGTGAAAGCTGACGTTGGTGGTTGTGTTTGTGACGACTGGAGGGAGGAAAGTATGGCGGCTTGGGCGGGATCGAGGAGGGACGTGTCGATTTCGGATAGTGTAGGTGTTGATGTCGGTATTGAGGGCGCGGTTGGCGGGGGCTTGGTTTTCGAAGCTGATGCAATGGCTTCCCATGCGGCTTTCTCTTCTTCGAGGCTGCTTCGCTGTTAGCATGGAGCAAATATAGAACACGCGGATTCTGTGGCGTACCGCTTGACTTCCTCCTCCAATTCCTGCAGTGTGGCTTGGTTCTTCTCGTTCTGAGGATTCGGCTTCTTTACCACAGGTGGTGGGGCTACTTCTTCCTGTAAAGCTATTAGCTCACCCTCTTGCCGTAATGCAATTGATCCACATACCCTGCTGAACCAGTCGGAAAGCTCGGGTTTGCTTGCGAAATCGTCTATGAGTTCTTGTTGAATAGCTCGCGCTGCGCTCCTGTCAGTCTTCGTCTTGTCCACCCTGCTTCGTTTAGACATACCAGCCATAATCGCATTCGCGTTCTTCACGTCGCCTGATGGTTTTGCTGGTAAAGCTCGCGATCCGCACCATGTCAATAGCTGCTTCATCCGTCGTGGTTCGGGTAGGCTCTGCTCGATATATTTGTAGAAATCTCGGACTTCGACTTCTGAGTGCGGTAGGGCTGCGGAATTGTTAGTATCCACTGATCCCCAGGGGCGCTTTTCCATGCCGTTAGGGTCCTGTGCCCAGCCCTCCTGTGCATCATTGCTTGACTCACCATTCGACTGGCCGCTGTCAATCAGCGAGCTTGCCCTTCTCCCTCGCAAGCCTGTGCTACTCCTTCTCGACCCATCCTTGTTGCCTTTCCGCATCTCTTTGTTCCTCGTAATAACTGGGGTGTCCGCAAAGGGCAGCATGATCTTTTGAGCGTTGGGATCGCGCTTCTTCGCGACCTGTATCTTGTTGTGTGTCGGCGTTTGCACGCCTGCATACGCGCTCTTGGGCTCTGGTTGTGCCTCAGGAGCTGGTGTAGTCTGCTTCTTCCTTTCCTTCTCTACGGGCGCGGTTTTCTTTGTTCGTGATTTCGCCGGTGGAGGTTCTGTAGACTTTGGTCGCACTTCCAGCTGTCTACTGTCGCCAGATATGCGCGCTGAACGACGACGCTTTCCCGAGTCTGAGGATTCCGGATCGGCTGTCGCGATTGACTGTTTCTTCCGCCGCGTAGTGGATTTGGCCGGTTGCGCTTCGGCAGCGCGCGCGAATGTTGCTGGTTCGTCCTCGGGTATTGGTTCTGGTGCCAGCACAGCCTGTGCCTTGGTAGTCCTTCGCGAGGACGTGCGACGCGAAAACTGGAAGCCATCATCGTCCTCGTCGTATGCAGCTGCCTTTGCTGTCTTCTTTGGCGCAGCAGTCGCCTTTTTGCTCGTCCCATTCACGTCCGCCTTCGCTCGTTTGGTCGTCGGCGCCGGCGCATCATCGTCGTCGAAGGCTTGTCTTGCGCTCCTTCGTCGCGTCGTGGGTCGGTTTGTTGCCATAGGAAGCGATTGGAGCGGTGGGCGCGCGAAGACGGTAGTCATGAGTCCAGTCGCTGCGTCACGGGAGTTTCGGGGAGTTGAAGTTCGGTCAAAGCGCGTGCATTGGCGCGACAAACGGGCGAGCGCAGACGGGGCGAGCTACGCAAGATGTGCGATCGGCGAGAGGCTGGTACGCGTGCAATTAGGTATGTGCCTGGGTATCCGGGGCTCGTAATGATTTGGCGGTAATGCGAATATCCTTAGGCGTCGGGCGTGGAGGGGAACGGTTGTCACACGGGAGCAAGGAAGCTGGTGTGTGCACCTGCCGCCAGCATCATCAAAACAATGGTTTTGGGACTAGCGCGTTCACGTGAGCCTTTAGCGCTCCCCACATCGACGAGCGCTGTCACTTCGGCTGCTCTCACTCGGTCTTGGGTGCAGTAAGCCAAGATTCAGAAGATGATGATGGTTTGTAGGATCCGCACCGGCTGCGCCGCATGTATATAAATAAAGTCTTCGTAGGAAGCGAAGGTAAAGCCGCTCAAAAACGCCCAAGAACAAGCGACTACCCGTGCCGCCAATCCATATGCTCTCATACTTCATAACCACGTTACTCCAGACACGCCAGAACAATGTTGAATATCCAAGCCTGCCCACTTCCTTTTGTGTATTCCATTTCTTTTGCACTTCAGTGGGGACTATTCTACATCCCAGCTCCAGGCATGGGTCCTTTCACGCCCGGAGGTGCAAAGCTGCCCTCAATGCGGCGTTTCGCGTCCTGCTTCTCTTCATTGGTGGGGTTGTTCTTGCGCATGTCGGGAACATGAGCTGGTCTGTTGGGGCTGTGGCCGATGGACATGCCGACGCGAATCTGTCGTAGTTAGTAAAGCGAACTGATTACAAGAGACGGCGACTTACAAGAGTCTCGAGAGCCGCGTTTGAGTTGTCTACGAGGTCCTCGTCGTATCGCATCTGACCTGGCTCAAAGAGTAGCAACAACGTGCTTCCACCAAATTTGAAGTACCCCAACTCTTCGGCACGTTTGACGTGCTCACCCTTCTTGCGCGTAATGACGGTGCTACCTACCATCATAGCACCAATGCAGATGACCATGACACGCCCATGGGCGACAGAGTCAATGGGTACTACAACGCGCACGTTTTCGCCGTAGACGTCCAGAGCTGAGCGAATAGCCATTGGGTTGACAGTGTAGTATTCTCCCTCAATCGTCTTCGGTTCATCCATGACACCGTCAACGGGAATGTGGAATCGATGGTAGTCTTGCGGCGCGAGTCGGAAGATACCAAGAGAACCACCGTGGTAGCGCTTTGCGTCCTCAGGGTATGCATCACCAAGCAGCCGCTCGACAGTGAAGTCGCGACCCTTGACCCAGATAGCCTGTGCTGAGTCGATCGTGTTGAAGACCACACTTCGGCAGTCGGAGGGGGAGACGATGACTCTGGGATCATCTGGCGCAGAGCACGGACGCGCACCAGGCTTCAATGCTCTGTAGAAGAACTCGTTAAAGTTTTTGAATTGGTCTGTTGGCAACAGCACTTCAGACATGTCAAGCTGATGGAAGTTGATGAAGGGTAAGATTTCCGAGGCTGAAGCAGGATCGTCATACTTCCTTCCTTGTTTGAAACTGAGGGACTTGAGTAGTTTGCGAACTGCGATCAGATTAGTATGCGACATGGAACCAACAAAATCTGGATGACTTACTTCGCTTCTTCTCCATGCTGTTCGACTTGAGACCCTTGTACAGCAATCGAATTCCCAGACGTACATACACGCTCATACGCTCTTCGTTGATCTGCCCTGTAAGGCGATCCTGGACAAGGATGTTGGCCGAATTTGCGCCTAGCTTGTATCCGCCGTATGAGATCTTGGTAATAACCTTGGAATACCACTTGCGCTGGGCCTGACTCGAAGTGACAAATCCAGCCATGACAATGTTGTTAACTTGTCTCCAATCTTGACTCGCGCATGTAGCAATGTGTGTAATGATATTAGCATCGGACCTCTTGTTCAACTTTGGTTGATGGCAGATGGGACATTCACGGATCTCGATGACATGTTCTTCTCCCTTTTCGTCTGCGAGATCATCAATCTGGATGTTGTCGCCTTCCTCGCCCTCCTTTCCTAGTGTGTTTGTTTCAAGTACTGGGATAGATGTTGTCGAGCTGTCCTGGTTGATGGGTGTGAGCATTCCGGATGCTAACGAGGGAGTCTGCGTGCCCGATGCAAGACCGTTCTTTCGGGAGTCTCTGGCCTCCGTGGCCTGGAGCTGGTCTTCGAGGCAGATGACAGCTTCGTCGAACGTAAGCAGAAGGTCTCCATTGTGAGCATCCGCGAACCGCTCGAAAAAGCTGTCGATGGTCGACTCATGCAGAGTGGAGCCAAGAGTGTCGAGCATGGTAGTCAATTCCACTTTGTCCAGCAGGCCGCTCTCATCGGCATCGTACTGCTTCAGCATAGCTCTCCAAAATTGCTGTCGGAGGGCCTTGTATGGGAGATACTTTGCGCGAATGTAGAGAGTAGAGTTGTGCTTGTTGCCCCAGCGCTCTTTGTCCTTCAGCTCCAATGGCAGAGTATACATCTTCAGATCCTCATCATCTACAGAGGACGGGTTGATATTGACATCGCCAGCGACAGCAAGGTTTCCGTTGGAGTCGGCTGCAGCGTTTGGCGGAGCACCCAGAGCCGCGTTGGATTCTTGCGCAGATAGTGAACCTGTCGAGGTTTCCTTCTTCAGAGACGGCCGGCCTAGACGAGATAGACTGTTGGTTGAAGCAGAACGAGAGATGGGAAGGCGGAAGCGGGATTTCTTAGAACTGCCCGAATCAGAGGGAGAGATACCAGGAGAGTCTGATGGCTCCGGTAGTCTGTAGAGTCCTGTCTCTGGGTCTTCCTGTGGGGCTGTGGAAACGGCCTTTTCGATTGGGAAGTTGACAGTGCCGACATAGTCGTTGCCCGAGAACTTGTCCTTGTCGATGACAGTGAAGTTGACAGAATAATTGGTCTCATGCCGTAAGACTTGGAAGATGAGTTTCTCGTCGAAGACGGGGTTGAGGTTGTGGCTGATGGTCTTGGTACGGTACGTCTTCTTTCCGAGGGAGGTTACGACGAAGGGATCCATGTCGAAGGTGGTTCTGGTCACTATTCATGTGTAAGTTCAGGCAATAGCGCGCTGTTGGGGAGACTTACCATTGCGTTGTGGGGGCAGATCGGTGCACTTCTGGATCTCCAGGAAGAGCACACCAGCTATGTCTCCCGTACTGGAGTATTCGTAGGCCTTCTTACCCTTGACCTTCCTCCTAAGCCTGGCCAGCTTGAGCTTCTTCCGCCGCTTCTCCCGCTTCTCGGCCTTCTTGGATTCGTCCTGGGCCTCGTCTGAGCTCGATTCGTCGTCTTCGGCATCGGTGAGGTTGCTGTCGCCGCGCTCTAGGAGGTCTTCGTCGTCTTCGTCGGGGCTCGGTGTTTGTCCGGCGATGGCGTAGAACTTCTGGAGGATCTGCTCGGGCGTGGCGGTGAGGTTGAGGGGATCGATAAGGGAGAACTGGATCTGGATCTCGCCGGAGACGACAGACTTCTTCTTGCCGGAGCGCCGCGACTGCAGCGGGAACCATTGCGGCTCCTGCTTGGTGAGGCCGTTCTGGAACTGCTCCTCGAGTATGACGTCAAACTCGCCCATGTAGTCCTTCCCAAAGCGGTCCTTGTCCCAGCAGACGACCTCGAGCAGGAGGCTCTGCTCGCCGACGATGGGCAGTTCGAGCGTCTCGTTCCATTCCGGGTTCAGCTGCTTGTTTATGGTAGGCGTGGTGAATTTCTCGTCGCCGAGGGAGAGGACGAGGTACTGCGGACATGCACGTCAGCGGGAGTTTGGGAGCAGTTCATACGGGGCACGACTCACGGGGTCCGAGGTGCCGCTGCGGTCCTTTGCAGCGAGGTCTCTGCCCTGCGTCGCTGTTAGCTGTGGCTCCTCCGCAGGGAAGCGTGGGCGGGCGCACTTTGATGACATTGGCTCTCAGGACCAGGCCGGGCGTGGGCTGCTCGTTCATGGCGCGCAGTTTGGGGCTGCCGTTGCGGCTGGCGGGGACTGAGGTTGGAGTGGAATTGGCGCCGTTGGTGTAGCTCGACTGCTGCTTGAGGCGGTGGGGGAGCGAGAGTTTGCTGGTAAAGGCTGGTCGCGGCATGGTGGGCTACGGCCGGCGTGGCTACGCGTTCAATCGGAACGTGCTGGCCGGACCGCGGTAGCCAAGTGCCTAGGGAGTGCTTGACGTCGCGCCGGCGGTTGGCAGAACGTGGCTCTGAGCATGCAATATCACGAGGTAGAAGAAACAGCAGGAAGGACGCGGTGCGAGTGCTGACGACGGCCAGGTCAAGAGTGAATTGAATTAAGCTTGGGGGCCGCCGCATACCTTAGTGTCGGTACATGTGCACGCGCAGCCAGCTGAAGGAGGGCAGGCCCGCAATGTGTCTCTTGCGGCGTCGATAGGAGCAGCGCCTGCCGGAACTTGCGGCTGGGCCCTCTGGATGTGCCTCTCCCATGTGTGATCGACGACTATGCTCGACTTCTATGCATGGCCCAAGACAAGACGGCCAAAAGCAAATACCGCCTGCTGCCAGTTGCTGCATCGAAGCGCGACTCAGCCGCCAATAGTCGGAGCCCAGAACTGTCTTCCATCTCCACCCGAAACCCACCGCAAGGCATCAGGGCAGCCGCAACCAACAAAACTCAGTGCAAGCAGCCCTAATCAGCCCTGCGCGTATTACCTCGATAGGAACCCCTCATTCCGCGCCTACTAGCCATCCGAGCAACCGGCCGCCGTATATATAGACATGCGCGCAAGCCTGTCACAAATGCCGCATATCCTATGCCGTCTCCTCTGTCTCACTAACGCGTCGCGCTGACGGCTTCCGTGCCAACAACACATCGTATACATCGCGGATACCTATCTCGATTGAGATGCTCCGGGACTATGCTGGGCCCTTACACTGGGGCTAAATGGGGCTACTTGGGAGAGCCTGCAGCTCTACGCGAACCGTCCTGTAACAGAATC